AAACCCCCCCCCCCCGTTTTCAATGCATGTTCTCACCACGCCGCAGTTTATATTGATCTAGACCCAAAATATCTACTCGGTTCTTAAGATTGTGGTCGTTGATAGAGGAATAACTATGGGCCAGATCAGTTGCCTATAGCGTCTCCCCAAATAGGGGATAAATGTGAAAAATATATGCCCAGACCAATGGGTTAATGGTGCCGAGCAAAAAAGGTGAAGCAAAATCATTATACAAAAATCAAAGATTAAAAGTACAACCTCGTAGATACAAATTGGAAGGCTAGCTTCAGCACATTTTAAACCACGTGTCAATAAGCACTAGCTGTTTGAAGAAATTCATGGCAGCTCATTACAACTAGCACTTAAGATAGGAGCGGCATAAATTCGGATTCGTGGACTATTTTTAATCGGAGGTATTGAATTGTGAAAGAAGAGATTAAAACAAGGTTAATTCAATGCGAAAAATTGCTATAGGAACTAACGTCTACTACAAATTTAACATACCTACATCGAGAGATAAACCCAAACTAAGTGCTACCAACTATTAACAAGATATGCTTTTATAAAGGAATTGGTCGCAAGCACAATTGTACCTATGAACAAGCCACGCTTTCAGAACTGAAATTCCCCAGAGATATATCAGATTGAAAGCTGCATTCCTCATATCTAATTCGCATCATTCCGTTCAAGTGAGCCAAATAAAAACAGTAATACTAAAGAGGGCGCAGCCTCAATCATAAAGACTCAATAATTTAATAAAAAGTATACACCTAGTCATCAAGCTGCATCATTACTATAAGCATAAAAAGTAAGGTCGATAACCCTGCAATGCACCTATGACTTAGAAAAAAATTTGAGCTACAGCAATTTAAAGTTCGGAAGCGTACCCCACTATCATAGAAGTTTTCAGACAGGGAAACGACTATTTTTTGTTCCTTCTGCCAGATATTGAAGGCGTATAACGGTAAAAAAGCAATTGACTCCACGGTTTCAATTAACCAGGGACGATAGAATGGAAGAAACTGAAAGTTAAAATTAGGCGATTCAAAAAAGAATATGAAAACTTATTGTGAAATAATACACGTACGGTATTTGAAAGTGTTTGCGAATGATTTCCCTTCATAGAATAGAGATTCAGAGTTACAAGCGACATATCTAGAGATAGATTGGAATAAAAATTACTGAACTATAAATAAATATGTACATGATATTGAAACAATAAATAATTTACCTATGTCATGATTTCTGGGAGAGATGGGAATACTTATTATAAAATCGATTTTATATTTTTGCCCCGGAGTAAAGAACTGATAGAAAAGTAAACAATTCTTATTTTTCATAAGTTAGATTTCGGTAAAAATTCTATTTAAGCCACGTACTGAGGAACCAAGTTCTGTAAGTTGAAATACGTGTGACGAGAATCTACGACCAAGCATCCCCGGTGACCTTAGATAAGAAAAATAAGGAAAAAAAATCGACGTACATCAAACTTAGACGGACCTCCCGTACGCTATCGATGTTAGGCACATATAAATTCCAAATTACACCAAAAGAGGCGGAAACAATAATTATGACAATGAATTGTAGCAGAAAGAAGGAAAAAATTTTTTCGAGAAATCTGCGTGCCATTGATAGTTTCATTAAATGCTTTGCATTAACTCGGGTCAAAGTGCAGATAAAAAAACCGCAAACCTATCAGCTGACGCACCGACTTCAACTGTTTAGGTGCCGATTAAGACAACGCATATAAACGGCATTTGATTGATTTTCGGTGTAAGCTTATAAATATCCATGCTACCAGAAATCCAATCAATTTTATTGTAAAATATATATTTTAAAAGTTATTTCAAATTATAGCTGAAGTTAGAAAATGACGGCTATTAGTTTAATATGAAATAGCATAAAAATCAGGCAACTTAAATCTATACCTCACATAAATTATAAAAAAATTTGGAAAAATATCACTGAACATTTAAAAAGGTTTATTTAACTGGGTTAAATGAATCATTAAAATTTAACTTAAGATCAATATTTCCCTTTGAAATAAAATTAATTAATATTGTGCATACCCGACTATTAAGCCGATATCTACCTAGCTTCTCCAAATCATCTCTTTAAAATAATTAATGGGTAAATTGTCTCCAATCAAATTTAAGTACCAAGGTAATGATTAATAATGCATGTATTCGAAGTTAATTAAATTAATCTTTCATAATCGGGTTGTTTATATTATGATATTAGGATTTATAATACCAAGTGCACTCAAAGCAGATCAATTGCAATTCGGCTGCCATATACTGAAATGGTCTTAGTAATTTTCGTTAAGAATCTTTTCCCGATTTTGCTCATTTATAATATTGATATTATCGAACACTCAATAGTAACAATTTTTCTCGTCTAAATGGGAATATCTAATCAATATAGACCATGTCTTTTGTAAATACCTTGATAAATACAATGTTGACAACAAAATCACCCAACCCACTTTGTTTTATGATCTTTAAATATTCTGATGTAATGAACAACGTTCCATCCTCGGTTATGAACCATTTTGATCTTGAGGCTCTTCTATTTGAACCTCTTTTAATAAATTGCTACTTATAATTTACTCATCCTTTCATTTAGTCTTGACATATGGGCAAAATAATAGTTGCTGCTAAATCACCAGCTAACATTCCTTGACCTTTCCTAAGTGCAATAATAAGTAGGTATAGACTTCGTCAACTTGTTTCACAGGATTTATGCTTCCTTGCAACAAACAGAAACTAATTCTGGTTCTGAACTGTCTTAATATAATCTGCTAAACATGGTATTATTATGTTCATATTTTCCGGACTAATAATTTAGTATGATTAATTTGTTGAAGATTATATCAGGTATGCAATTTGATTTCTTTTAACATATCTATGAGTAAATCATATGAAACAATTGAAATATAGCACCATGACGAAGAATTCTGTGAGATTCCAATAATTCATAAGGAAATTTACTGATTTCTTCCTATTAAACGCAAATTTTAATAATTAATTATGTCATTTCATATCTCAAATATCTCGCAACTATCATTGTTGAAAGAATTTATTAATCTAGCTTCTTTATTTACTAAATAAGGGTATCGAGAATTTAATGAATTACTAATGAACTTAGTTTTTTCGGGGTTAATTGTTCTAAAATCTATTTCAAGCAAAATAATCACCTTATTCAAATGTATTAACGCATTATATAAAAATTTATATTTTAATGGAAATGTGTTATATGGGCCTATGATGTCACAGATAAGCAGAATAACTGAAATAAATGTATTACCAACAGTGCGTTATCCACTTTTGCTATAGCAATATAACTGTTCAGTCATTCGTCTATTTCATATATCTAAAACTTTGTAAATCCATTTTTGACTATTACAAATTTTTATATCATAAAAACTTTTTAATTAATAGAGATATATTTACATGCCATTGTCTATATTTTTACGAAATCACACTCTTGTTTAACCCATTTTCCAAATGATTATATAGGAAACGATTATATCAGCGCCTACATTGTATATTAAGGACGTTTTGGATTATAAAATGAACGGAAAACGACATTTCAAAACTAAAAGAACGTCCTTATTCGGAAGTGAGAATGAGGAAGATTCACGACTACCTGACCCGTCTGAGAATTCTACAAGTATTTTGATTTATTCAATTTTTATATTTTTAGCATCGCTCACCCTTAACAAAACCCAAAAATCATTAAATTGCGGAGATTGGTGGAGACCCACTGAAACCATTCCTACCAGTCGGGTAAAAACACCGACAGAGACACAATTCTACGGCCGACATCGTTTGGTCGATAGTTCTCCACTTTGTGAAATCGAAGTAAATTTTATTATTTCGCTGTTATTACAAATATAGGGTTTTAAAAGCGGATTGAGAAGTTCAGATGCAAAGAATGGTTCAGGTGACTTTCTTTACATTAACAATGTTACAATATTCCTTTGAACTTCTAATTTTCAGCGTTTATATTTTATAGATTTGAATAATAAGGCGACTGTTTCTAAGACTAATGAGATGCTTTCAGAAAAAAATATAAATGAAGTTAGCTAATTTCGAACTACTTATTTTTAATACTATTTTAACACTTAGATCAATCGTCAAAGTTCTCACATAAACGATGATGTCCATTTTGATAATGAAAAAATTGGTGAGAGTGGGGCGGTTCATAGCGCCATCATGGAAGTGAAAAATGATCAAGAAGAGAGTCAGAAGCAGCAACATTTTCATGAGAGATCGAAAACTCGCATTAGTAATGGTGAAAATTTTAATTCATCATCCTCAAATAACGGGTTTATGCCCTCGAATTTTGAGATGACCCACTTAACAATAAATGATTCAAATGAGAGCCAAAAGGAACTTCTTGGACGAAAAATGGCTGAGAGAGCACCAGAAACCCCATCACTTCGACCTCCTTGGTTTACGGAAGAGTTGGCCACAACAACTAGAGCATCCTTTAATCAGCACCCTAAACCCGATTCGGAAAAGAAATTTAGCTTTCAGCGATCAAGTAATCAAATTGAATTCCCGAGTTACACTCCAGAGGAAATGCAGGTATGCTCTAGGGGAGATGATGCAGATATTTAAGGAGAGGAAATATATATATGGATAAGATAAATAATTGATATGATATTAGAATACCTCTGGGAAAATTTAAGAAAATGGCCTGGCTGATATCTTACACTAGCTGGATACGTCAATCCTTTCCGCTTTATCTAATAGCAGGACGGAGGATATGATTAAATGGGTAAAGTACACGTGGGTGCTCTTCTCATATGTGAACAAAATTTAGTCCTGAAAAAGTTAAATTGTCCTAATGCCTCATAGTCTCTTCACCTTGATCCGTGTCGATGAAGACTGACAGATTGTCGCAACCATATTAGCAGTCAAATTATATTCTGTCAGAATAAAAAAACTGAGTTTTAAAATGACGATTTTTTTCGTGGTTGAACTGGTGGACTCATAATTTCATTCAACTCAGGGAGTCAAAAGATCTGTTCTGTTAGAGATTTTCCCAAACAATCTAGAGAATCATAACTTTTTAATGCGACAATTTGAATGATAAAGTGTGGTCATAGGATATGTATGCCTCAATCAAAAATTTTAATATAAGTTCACTAAACAACCAATGCAAACATCTAAATTGAGATAAAAATTGCAAATATATATATATAAGTATTATGCTCACCTTTTTTCCGAACAGAGTGCTCGACCAACAATAATTGACGCGCGCAATAAGAAATGCACCTGGATGCCGAATTTGGCTCCCGAGTTTGTTGCACAAAGCGATGTTGGGAAAAAGTCCATTCCACTGGAGAAAAGGGCCTTCCCGCGATATGCTGTAAGTTGAGCAATCGTGAAACCGATAACCTACTTTAATTTATGGAAGCAATGCCTCTTAGAAAAGATTATATAAGGCAGAACTTCCTTTATTCCTTTTTATTTTTTAAAAAAATCGTTATTAGAAACAATCACAAGAGAATATTGTAGTAGTGTATTTTCATTACACGCTGCTCAAAGCAAACTTCCCAATTATTGGCTTAAGCATCATAGCCCCCCTACAGGGTGAAATATTTGAGATGAGATGGGGAGTGGGGGGGGGGGCAATTTGAGTGAATCCTTAGTCAAACAATCTGAAGTTCAACTTGAAAGATGCTGAAAGTGATGCTTGAAACTGCATGGAAGGGAACAACTCGTTTTTAATGGATAAGTTTATAATTTGTTTATACCAAATGGCAGACGTTTTGATGGTCATCACTAGCCCTTTAGTTGACTTCAGGCTTCACAGAGGGGAAGGAACATCAAAGTGATAAGAAGTCGAGAGAGGGGGGAACAGAAGAGTGTTTCAAAGACGAAGGTAGAAAAAAGTTGAGGTGAGTACTGTGGAAGTAGTCGAATATGACATACAATGGGGTCATTGCAGTTTGAAGTCAGAAGTCAACTGCGGTTTAATGGACTTTTTGCAGTATGAGTATACGTTGCCCAGGGTGCACCACGTGGAGGTAAGTCTATCGCACTTCCCACTGTCGTAAAGTTGAATTGAGCCAAAACCAAAAGTTTGCTAATTTGAACTATTCTATAATAAAAACTCCAGTATTGATCAGAGGAGAAGTAATCATTCATAATTATAATATTCCAATGTTTCCATATGGGTTTCGTCCCTGAAAATGGTGATTAAAATAATCCTTGGATAAAATTGAAATCGTCCATTTATTTATAAAAGACTTAATAATTTTTACTACTTGGATATATAAGTACACACAGTTTTAGGTTTTGCTATTCACTTAAATTACAATCTAGTGACGTGATAAGTTAGTATTTATACTTTCCATCACCTCAAAAACCCTTCAAATTTGGATCTGGGATTACAGTTACTATCAGGATTTGGAATGGCATTCTGATACACCCTTTTGTTATCTCTTAAAGCAACTACCGATAGGACTTCGAAGTTCCTTTTGACACTTATTGTTGGCAAACAGTGATAAGTATACCGGTTTCCAAAAAATGCCCTCCTTATTATTCACCTTGTGCGAGTATTCGTGATGAGATATTGTTTAACTTGAAGTGAGGGTAAACAGCTTGACTGGGTTTTACAATGGAATAAAGAATTACTACTATACACTTTCTGAAATATTCTCTATCATTAAAATAGTTTATATGCACTATTGGTTTCCTTGTCCGCACAACAAAACCATTACATGCTCCTATTAGGAGGAAGTAAATGAACAAGTGCCAACGAGCCAGGAATCCACTAGTCTTACTTTGTTTAAATTTATGAGCATTGAAATCCTTTCATTTTCGTAAGAGCGAAAGCTCAATATATATATATGATGTTCTATTGTTCAGTCCTTTTATATTCTACTTTCAAGTCCTTGGACGACAATATTTCCACAATGTCCAGTTCCGAGTGCTTGATTGTGGCATGACACTCCAATTCATTTATTTTTACAATATCGAAAAATCAGAATGATTTTGTATGAATAGATAAGTAATGCCATGGGGTAAATTCATAGGGAGAAATTCAAATGCTATCACGCCATTAACCCTACTTAATCTATGAGGTTAGCTGTTTAGCTCACTGGGGGTTGTAGGCATCGAAGTTACGATCTCTGAATTCTTAGATGAATACGTAAATTGAGTGAATAGAGCAGAAAGAATCTCAACTTGTGATAAAATCGAATTTAGGGGCATAAATGGGTATGGTGCTAGATCTTCATAACTGATGCGAATGGTAATAAAACGAATAGTATTGCGGTGAAGGAATACAATATGAATATTGCCCGGTCTCAGTTTGAACCAGCAATAGCTGCTGTTTACCATGCCCATCCAACAAATGCCACATTTGAGAGGCCAGATATTGGATCAAAAGACAGGGAAGCCGTAAAAGTGTAAGTATATACTACTGACATTGATTTAGTATCATTTCGCAATAAAACTTGCAAATGTTAAACATCTCTAAGATTCAAATGCTCGAAACAATAATACAATCAAGTAAGGAATGAAGAGAAGTGTGCAATGCAACCAGGACGGTAAGAAACCATTGGAATTTTGGTTGTATTGACCTTCCAAACTTCCCATGGATTACTAAAAATTCCTTGGTTCAGATATTAATTTTCGATTTCGGCATAGATTCGAGTCTGCGTTATTCAGAGATCATTGATTCAATTTAATGCGTTGAATGATTAATAACTTCTTACAGCCATGAGAAGGTAGATAAAACGAGCCCAGACAATTTTAGGTGCAAGAGACTCACAATAAGCTATCTTGATCACTTCTTTCTTCCCACTTTTCAGAATGATGTCAACCTGCCACCCTATCCAAAACTGACAGCCCCATACGCTATGGATTAATTTACCTACCAACTAAACTTAGTTCCTCTTTAACTTCGCCCATATTCCCCTTAATAAAGTTTTCCACCCCTTCTGCTTTCAAGTCCACAAAAACCTGTTGTTGTAGACAAAAATAGTACCAAATCTTATTGAGACTGAAATTTACAAACAAGTATGAGGCTTCAGTGATGTTTGTGAGCAAGAATTTTCAGGAGAACACTTCTTTATTCTCCAAGATTTGAACCAGGCTTACTTTGGGAAGCGGTATTGAGACCATTTCAGTGCCGTTTGTATCCTGAAAGGAGGGTTGGAGAAGAGAAGGGGAATTAGTTTACTACAGCTGTGTTGTGCAGTAGACAGACGAAATGGCTGTTAAAAAAACGCAAACTGACCTTTGTAAATTTGATGAATTTATGGTCCTTGAATTCAATCAGCTGCGCGCGTAAAGCGACTTCTGAGGTAGCCAGAAATGCGTCACGACAGCGCCAGTACAACTCCTCCAAGGGCATACCCTTGGGTCCTAAAAGGGAGGAAACACCTTTGAACTCAATAACAATTCAATAGATTTCATCCAAGCATACATAAAGTAATGACTAAAACCAGTTTGTACAATTCAATTCGGAGCACAGACTCAGAACTTTCTGTTAGATGAGTGAAACGAATAGATAATAATTGCATCTGAACATCTAGAGAAAGTGATGCTTCTAAATTATAAATTACAGTAATGCCCACCAACCGAGAAATCTTGATGGCTGATGCTAAAACATCCTTTGCCATAGGTAATAATGATTACTAATTAAAAGGGGATAGTTAGCTATCAATAAGCTTCTGAAAAAAAGAGATCAAACTCAGAAGGTAGATGTGACAGCGAAACGCATTCAGCATAAATATAGGAAATGTTATTATCTTACTATATCGCCTGAGCAGCATAATATAATCTGAGCAAAAGAATCGTAAATGTGGCATGGGGTCACTGGTTCGAAGTCTAATCGCATTAAGCTACGATAAAAAAACCAAATGATTAAAGCTAAGATTGAATATGAATTAATTTAGACGTATAACTGGCCTCCACTAGTGTAGTTGAAGTCACTCTAACACGAATCGCTATGAATCAGCAGAATCATCCACTATCTCTTCTGTCATTACAACGACTTCTGTCATCTCTAAACCATTATGCAACCCTGTCAAAAGTCCTATTTCGAAGCTTTGAATTGCACCCCATATCTACCCTATCCCTCCCCCCCCCTCCACCTCTATCTATAGCTTTTCATACAAGCTGCAGTCTGTGACACTTCAACCACTCCCTCCGCTACTTCCCATTAAATCACAATTCTTATAACTTGCTTTTCCCTTTCTACTCTGAAGATCCTAACTTAGTGACCTCAGTATTTATCTTGGCCTTTAATTATGAATGAAAATTACAAAGTAGCAAATAATAACGTCATCTTTTGAGCAACTGCCAATGAGAAGAAGACTCACCACTAGTGGCAGCGTTCTCATCTCGTCCCCTCTTTGCCTTCTCCTTCGCTTTGTTCTTCTGTAGCTTTGATGAGGCAGCAGCAGCAGCCGCTTCAATGCTCTTAATTTCCTCCAATTGGTACTCCACAAGGAGACGGAAAATGTCGCGAGCATTTTGCGTGATTGAAGCCCAAATATGACGTAGACCGCTGATCGGATCACCACTCTTTCCACTCTCGTTGCAGTCACGAAGAACACGCTGGAGAAGGCGGCTGTTGGCGAAACAGGCCTCTTCCTTATAGGGAAGCAACGTTGCACATTCCTCCCACACCCAGTTGAATTGAGAAACCTCAGTTTGAGACCATACTAAGAGCCGTAACAATATCCACACAATAATGTTTCAAATAATTGACAAAAATGAGCTTGTGATAGCAAACCACTGTTATGATATGAGGATGGGTGGAAACGATCTTCTTAAATTGCATTTTATAATGTACGCCTTGTTCCAACTTAGATAGCGAAAGATACGATTTATTAAAACCAGCTAAATTATAGCTTTCATTATGGGAAAATCAAAATCCTAAGTATTAGGTTGGCAACTAAGTCATTGCCGATTTCAAATAAGAAGGCAAATTCGGAATTTTTGTTTAAAAATATAACTTTATTCAATTAGATATTGGCTGTTCTTGTCGATGACCTTTTTCCATCGTTCTGGCAGGGTAAAAATTCCCCGTTCGTAAAATGTCTGGTCTTTGCTATTAAAAAACTGAATTAGGTGTGATCCGACATCATCCGCGTTGTTAAAAATTTTACCATTTAAAGAGTTTTGCATGGAACGAAACAAATGGTAATCCGAAGGCGCAAGGTCAGGGCAGGGCTATATGGTGGGTGTGACAAAACATCCCAACCCAGTTCCAATCATTTTTGCCTTGCGTTATCATGATGGAAAACAACACCCTTCCGATTTGATAATGCCGGCCGCTTATCTTCAATTGCATCCTTCAGTTTTTCGAGTTGTTCAACATACACATTTGAATTTACCGTTTGGTTTTGTGGCATGAGTTCAAAATACAAAATTCCTTTGTGATCCCACCAGACTGACAGCACAATCTTTTTTTGCTGAATCTCTGCTTTTGATACTGTTTAGGCTGGTTGATCTTGCTTCACCCATGATCTCTTGCGAGTAAAATTGTTATAAACTATCCACTTTTCGTCGCCAGTAACTAGGTTCTTCAGAAATGGATCATTCTCATTGCGCTTCAGTAGCGAATCACAGATGCTAATCCGTTGCGTCAAATGAATTTCCTTTAACTGGTGAGGGATCCATAAATCAAGTTTCTTGACATAACCAAGGGTTTTTCATTTTTTTTCAATGCATGTATGCCACACATTGAGCTTCTCTGCAATATCTCGTGTTGTGCTGTGACGATTTGAATCGATAATGGCCTTGATATGGGTTTCATCCACTTCAACTGGGCGGCCAGATCGTTGTGAATTTTTCAGTGAAAAATCACCGGAACGAAATCTTTCAAACCAATTTCGACACTGCCTTTCTTTTAAGGCTTCACCTCCATATACGCACATAACTTCTTTTGTGCTTACGATGCGTTCTTGCCTTTTCGGAAGTAATACAATAAAATGTGTCGGAAGTGCACGTCCTGTTCTTTCATTTTTAAATTGGGATAAAAACAAAACTAAAGAACTAAACAAAAAAAATTTTTCACTAATTAACCTAGAAGGCCATACAGTAAGAAAAAAATATAGGTTAGATGCTCTGGCCACGTTAACAAAACAAAGTATAGATTGAATCCGTCAACAAAAACGGCAATGACTTAGTTGCCCACCCAATATTTGGTGTTTGATAGCATTTAATTCGAGCCCCAACCCAATTTGGCATAAAGTTAAAAACTTAAGGTGGGGGCGGGGGGGGGGCGGGGGGAGCGGAATAACTTAGAAAACAACAAGTAAACAAATAAATAAATAAAATATTCAGTTTTATGGTAACGTGTCGAATTCAATATTAGCATGAAATGAATCATGGGAGGAAGCATAGTTGATAGCAAAAAATACTTATTATAAATTCATAATTAAAAATCCGTTCAGTTGAGGAGATGAAAATGTCATAAAGACCACAAAACTCTAGACTTCTAGCGATATCTCCCTCTGAAGCATTCGGCTTTGAATGCTGCCTACAAATGTTAACTCCATCGAATTAAGGTTTAAGTGGCATCATAAATTGCAAAGATATAATCATATCTCATATAAGGCTGAGCTCAAGCATTCATTAAGAGTCTACGATCTTTAGTTAAGTTTATTCGGATAAAATTTGCTAAGGCAAACTCTGCTGTATGAACGGGATAGCATATTGGAGAAATCCTAAACATGATGTGGTAAGTGAATAACAAGAGAAGTTGACAAAATAAAGCAAAACTGAAATATAATTTATTTGCCAAAGGTAGCGCAGGGTCATAAGATATGACAAGTGTTCTCAAAAGATGGCATTATGTATAAACTATAGAGATATAAGCACGATACTGAATACAAAAAGGGAATTTCCAATCGTTATGAACGCTACTAATCAGATCCAAATGCTGAGAACAATAACAACCACTTAAACAATTACAAGTCATGTGGACATATTATGAAGTGTGGATTTTGTAGAAAGAAATTAAGACTGAACGAATCGAGAGTTCAAATATAGCAGAGCTACTCTATTTTCCCAAATTATTCTCTTCAAATTTGCCATGCAACATAATTACATGCCTCTACTTATCCTCCACTATTTTGCTATGCAGTAGCCAATAATAATAATAATAGGCAGGAGTGAAACGCATGCCTGTAATATACTGCTTTCAAAATGTAGGATAAATAGAATATTGATAAGACGCAAAATTACATTCCAGTCACAGGGATAAGCGATTCCTACAGGTGAGTCCTATTTCACCATAATTTCTACTAATATGCGGACGTGTATTACTTAAAACGTTTCCACAGTTGATCTAATCAAAATCCGTTATCCGTTTAATGGATAATTTTATTTAAGAAAAAAAGGATTGTGAAAAAATAAATCATGTTATAGTAGCAACTATAAAAAAAATAAAATCCCCGAATCTGAGTCAACTGTGGCCTAATAACGTTTAGCAGCTAGAGATAGATGGATTAGAATGCAAAAGAGATATATTGAGCATTAAATTGTTAGACACTGAATATCAGTGAAAACTCACAAATGGGCAAATTGGGATTATCCATAGTGGCCAAGAGACGAATATGGGGGACTAAAGCGAGCCGAGCGAGAACGGATTGAGCAATGGCTGAACGTAGATTAGGCCCATCAATGCAATTGATTAACAAATATAGGGGTGTTTCTGCAGCAACTGAAAATAAATATATAAACAAATAAATAGGAACATTTTTTGGTAAGAAATCTTACCATCTCTTGAATAGAAATCAATGATGGTATTCAGTCGAGTAGGAGCGTTAAGGGGGATTTTTTCCAACCCCAAAACATCCTCAACAATGGTGTTTAATAACTAAAAGAAATCTTTCAATTATAAAAGGATCAAACCTTCCGAATGGACATCGAAGAGGAATAGCCAGCAATAGAGAGACTGTCATATCCTTTTAGATAATCTGTTTGGAACTTTTGCAATATCCTAATTTTTGAGCCAACTCCATAGAGGATAACGTTAAAACCAGATCTAGATTAATAACCACCAAACTGACCAAACATACTCAAGATGCGCACACACATTGGGGAGAAGTTTATCAGTAAGTACCATGAGATTAGATTCCAGAAAATCAATAGATGGATGACGATACATAGCAAGCAATTCTGCGTAATGTTGGGGATCAGGCAGTCCATTTTCAGGGTCCGCACGAAGTTCGGCTAGAGTTCGTTTACTGGTCTTCGTATTGCGTCTCATAAAATAGTCATCAATAGCTTCTGACTAGGTGAACTTAAGATATAATTAAAATGAATATTACTGCCGTTGGTGGTGTATTAAATGTTTTTGATAGCAAAGTATCTTTTTTGGTCACGGTGTCTTCCTTCGCTCCAACTAATTTTGATAGATAAAACAGAAAAGAATACAAAGGGGCAATCTATTAAATTTGAAATCGCTTGACACATGATTTAGTATTTGAAAAATGAATTATAATATTAAAACCCCACTCACCAGTCTTTAGAGTCGAACGCAAAGACTTGGACCTTTCTGGCTTGTTCATAACTTCAAAGAAATAATATGTTTGGAAATAATGAACATACCAGACATATCTTTTGGCAAACGTTGGAACCACCCTCAAATTATTTGAAAATAGTTGTGGCAGAGGATGCAAGGTTATCACCCTAGTACATAATAACAAACGTGGAAACTTAGTGATTTTATTGAAATAAGAAAATTAACATAAGTAATTTAAATAATTAAGCTAAAATATTTTAAATAAAAACTTATTAAAAGGCTTTGGCTTTAAATTTGTTTGTTATTCAAGGAGTTTCAATGAATAACGCAATTCAGATACAGTGCAAATATTAATATGAAACAAAATTTCTAAAATTAACTGACAGCCAGACTTTCGCTTAAAAATGATTTATTCGTATGTATTAAGATTTGGTCATAAGAATTTATGTTTAAATTTCTTTTAAATTGGCTTGAGAAACATTTCACTGTTAAAAATGTGATTTTCAATAAACTTACCTATTTCGTTTAATTAAATAAATGTTTAAATACTAAACGTATGTCAAAATACTAATGAGTAGACTTCAGAGACATCGTTACTTTCGGCAGCTAATCACGAAATTTGAATGTGCACTATGAACTTTCCACTTTATGAGCACTCCAAGCAGTGTAACAATCGAATTATACTATGAGGTCATTATTCATGCAGATATCAAAATGGCTTGGACTGTTATTTAAGCTGTATAGGTCCTCCTTAAAGCTCATAAAATATATCTATCCAATGGTAAAAATTTCCTAAAAATATAATCTCTCATACCTTTGATGATTCTGCTCATGCGAATTTATCACAAGCATGTGATTGAGGATTTGGAAGAATTTTCTTGGAACACTGAAAATTACCATATATATTATAGCTCTATGTTAATCTTTATTTGCAGTAAATTTATACATTGCAAAAATTAATGAACTGAAATTGTAATGAATAAACCTTGGTAACCTTCTAATGAGCTCTGATAGGCGTCTCCGACAAAAATCCTCCTGAAGAAAATTACTTCCTAAATGTTCTAAAAGTAGCATCAACAAAAAAAGAGGTACAGAAAAATAGGTTAAATAGAGTTACTTACAAATACGATCAATTTCCAACTTGTAGGGTCATTAAATATGATGAATGTAATGCTACTCACCATAAACCTCCATTGCCCATTGAATGAGCGAATTTTGCTTTCAACTTACACTTTCCAGGGCGTTTTAGAGTGCACGAGACTCCTTTGATCGACTTTGATGGCCTTGTGCGTTTCACAAGCGAAAGTTGATGTCTTTACAGGACACAGTAAAGATGTCTATAATTCATTTTATATTAAAGCGAAATAATGACAGAGCTATAAATTCATTGCACCAATGAAAAAATCTAACTAGTTATGTGACGCAACAATTTGGAATAAATTATAGATACTAACTAGAATAAGTTAAATTTATTGATATGCACAAGATTTACCAGAATTTACGGTATCGAATTTCGGCAGACACTCGAACGAGCCACTTTTAAGTGACAACTGATAAATTTGTTTGGAAATACTTGGAAACCCTTCTGATTGTGTTTCATAATGCTTAAATTTGTGGAGTACACAATGCTCTCAAGATCGAACAAAGAAACCCCCCCTCACTCATATAGGCTCGAAGGTGTGGCCGTGCTATTTGTCGCGTAAGGAGCAACCGTGGTTGTGAGCGCAGAGGCCTCTCAGCAAGCCACCAATCAGTAATCTCAACAAGCCATTTATAGTATTTTAATGACTAAGCTCTGTAACAGATACACAGCCCAAAGATACGTGTTCCACTCCATACGTCTGTTTCTTGCCATAGAGATTACTGACAATAAGTCAAGGCTTGTTAGTGTGTGGGACACGTCATCGCTTAACGCGTCATCACCGAGCCACCAATGGCCAATCAGAAGCCTCCGTTTGTTTAACCTAATCCACTATGCTGTTTATGATTAAACTCCCTGAGTGTACACTTTACCCACATTATACCTACTGAATGAGCGTGTTCCGTTCTACACACCTATTTTCTCTATAGCTGGGATGTAGCTTAGCTAGTTCTGGGAGTCTAGCTAAATGTAAGAGAATCTGCCACAGAGATTTCTGAGTCAGTCAGGCTTTAAAAGTGTAGCAATTCGCTACAAATTAGTGACTCTGACATAATTGCTAAAGCCTGACTTCAAACACTCAGCAGAGAGAAATTTGCTACAAGTGTTATAAGCTGCTGTATAGTAAAGGGTAAGGAATAGACATGCAGTTAAATCTCAAAAGATTGATTGAACAAAAAAAATACTAGCGCCAATTATGACTCGTGGTTGAGTATACTAACTATTGAAATGATTATTTCGAATAAGTGAGGAAAAGAGGTTATTTCATTTTTTAATATATGGCTGGTCATCGTTAACCAATATACTTAAGCACCATAACGAATAGACTATGATTTAGATCTTCATTTTATTTCCAGTATAGAGGGTTTTCCAAAGGTGGAATCACAAAATTGAATTAAATGAATAGCCAGATTGTATGGGTTTCGACTACAATTAACAGCTAACAAATATAAGCAACTGTTCCCAAGAGAAGAACGCAAATAGTTCGATGAGGATTCGAATGGGCATAGAAAGTGTATGAGCAGTTAAATATGATATTCTGTAGGGGGGGGGATACAAGGAAGGCAAAATGAAGGAACACTTCAGTTAAGATGCATTTATGAGTGTGAGTTCAGGTTTAGCCTTAAAATAGAAAGAATAGGTACAGAATAATGAGGAGGCATAGTAGATATGGAGTTTGATTCATTGTGGAATAACTGAAAATACAGTGTTAATTTATTTATATCGAATGGCAGGCTTAATACTAGTTATCATTAGATCTTTAGCTGACTTAGGGCTTCACAGAAGGGGGGGCGAGCACCATCAAAGTTCCCACATGTCGAGAGGGGAAAAGAAGAGTGACTTACAGATGCAAAAGAGACAGGCACGAAGGTTGAGGAAAAGGTAAGATAAGTATTCTGGAAGCGGTCTAATATATATATATATATATATATATATATATATGGCTAATCCCAAAATGCAATGTATTTTCACAAAGAATATGTGACAAAAGGGTCATTTTAGTAAATCTTTAAGAATCATTTTCATTGTTTTTTTTTCTCCAACCTATTTAGGAAACTGTTTAACAGGGCAAATATTTGGTACAGTGACAGCTTAGAACCTTCCTAATGAGTGACTCGAATTCTACCGCCTTCTATATTACTGAGTCCTAAGCAGTGCGGTTAGCTATTTCGCTCACCTATCAACCATTACCCATTCTTATTGGTTAATATTCAATTTGACCTTGATGGTGAAAGGGGCAGAGCTTTCATTTGCTTGTATGCAAGCATTTAGCAGAATTAACTAGCAGATAAAAAAAGACGAACGAGGAGGAAGCATCTTTCACTACAAAAATGGAATGAGGCTAAATTAACGCTTGTTCAAATAGAGCTCATGCCTTTAATTTGTTACGAGTATGATGGCCACGCTTTTAACAATTGTGAAGTAGAAGGGGGATTTTGAAGTGCGGTTTTATAGATTTTTCATCATGGCCAAAGATCAACGAAATAAAAGATTTTTAGTAATAGGATTTCAAGCCTATTTATCATTTTATATCAACTGTCGAATGAGATGATAGTATTTCTTTGAAGTTTATGTTAGGATAAGAAGATTTCATTCACATAATCAATAGCTTGGCAGGTATTGAAAAATTTCATAATGACATCCATCCAAAATTGACAATAATCAAGAGAGGAAGAACAGTAACGTACAATTAGGTAAAACGCTAGTGGGCTAATGTCTAGTTAACTCCTACTTATGCAAGTTAGTCACTTAATACTTCTCTCAGTTTCCTTAAAACAGATGTGTATGATTCCTCAGTCATTGAGCAGTTCACTTATTACCTTCATTGTAACACCTTCGTTAAGAGTTATTTTAACAAGAAATTGCATTTAAGGTTATTGATTACAAATTCGTCGGCGATGTTCCTTTTGCAATAAATAATCCAAGGAATGTTCTGTATAACGGTAAAAAAGACAACCATTCCCATTTGAAGAATAAATTCAATTATTTCATTTGAAGGTGAAATATACTTGAAAGACCTCAAGAAAAAAAAACAGTTCGCGCACACGCGCAGTCAATTCCCAAATGCAGACATGCAAGTCAGGCGGAAATGAAGTTAGTAGCGCAGCCATCGCCGTCGTCACATCCCTCTGACCCCATATCGGCCATCACCTCATTTCCCCATAAATATACTTTATATCTGAATTGCCTTAAACCTCACCAGCCAAAAGCTAATTCTAACCGCTACAGACTCTCCCCCTACAACACGAAATGTCATGGGCATAAAATACAGGCAGCGTTGCGTATATTCTCCCCAAAAAAACCAATCAGAGAAAACTGCACAGACGATATTGTCGATAATTAATATCCAAATTGTTAGCACAAATTTGAGTTTTTTAAGTAAAATAATCTTTAAAACGATCTAATATGAGATATATAGGCTCACATTGGGGATAATGAATGTAGTTAGGTTGATAGATCTAAATTTTGACGAGGAAATAGCGACTATAACATTTTCACTGAAGCACTGCTGTGATAGAAAAATAATTTGAACAAAATTGAACAATAGCGTTTATAAGCTTAAGCAGTTTAACAGAAATTTTTTCTGTCCAATGAAAGAATAAATTAAACTATTATAAATCAGTTCTCACTGAGTGAACTCTGGAAATTCAAATAGTTACCATATCTAATTTAAGCTAAATGAAAACTCAAAGTTGTTGAATAAAATGATGCGATAATTTTGCTAGTTCAACTAACATAAGAGAAAATTGAATAAAAGCTGTAAGACTGTCTCTTCTTGAATTAAAACCAAATCTAAAAGTACTGAACATTAAAGTTAAATATTTGCTACAGTCTTATTTTTTCATCAATTTACATTTAAATTAATCGATTAATGTTGTTTCTTCTTATTGGTCATAAATGTTTCT